ATAAAATTAACTGTAACGAATTAAGATTAAGATAAATCGAGATTTACGGACATTTCTTATTATTTGATTTTCACTTATTACATTTCGTAAAAATTATGAAACTTTTTTATTATTGCTTGTAGCATCACTTCGAAGAAAATACGATATTCCTTGCTTCGAGGAATGTAACCAATGGACCGCACGACGACAATTTAAAAAATAAGTGTATCATTATTTTTCGATATTTTATTTCATACTTATATAATAAAAAAATCCTTTCGTAGTTTAATTAAAAAAATTATCCGTTATGCAAAAAAAACAAATCAAATATATCTAGTGTCATCGCGTGCTTTCGAATCGTCGATTAATTTGTGGTCGATTCTATTCCAACGACAAAATAAATATGAATTTTTTTCTCATAGTTTATCTACTTTTATTAAAATAATGTTAATTTAAAATAGCTCTATCTATAGCTGTAATTTTAAAGTTAATAAAATTTGTTTAATTTCTTTAATTAAAATGGACATGATAAATAATACGTAAAAGAATTAATGCCTATTTTTTTTCAAATGGTACTATCGATCCTTATTTTATTTTTATAATCAAAAGCACGCGACGATATCCAGAACACTTTGCGTATATTCCAATTCATCTCACAGTCAACAGTGTTTTCGTCATATCGATTGCTCGTTGCAACCTATAACTCGATTTATGCTGCTCGAGAGCATTGCTTGTCCGTCGACAAAGCGGACGGCCAGCCGCGAAAAAAGCGAGGAACGAAACGGCAGTTCGACGAGACGAGACGCTCGTGTAATCAAGGAAGCGATCAAATTATAGCTGCTTGCTCGAAAGGCTGATTGCTCGTCCACGGGGAAATTACCCTCTCTTTGTTCGGTCGACGTTACTTGGCGGCTCGAACCTTTAATTGACACTCATAATTAAGCGTTTTCTTTTTCGTTCGATCCAATATCGACACGATCGTTCCGGAACGGCGCATACATGAGAAATGCAATGCAAAAGCAAGACAGCGATGCAACGTGCTCAACGTCTGATGCTTGAAAGTGATCATACGCGATTTAGATCGATTACGCAAATTCATGAATCACCGCGTCGCGATCGCTGGATTTATTGCAATATGTGGCCAGTGTAAAACACAACCTTATCTCTCTGACAAGCCTACTGGAGTTATTTTACTTACTCAAATAAAACAAATCGCGCGAATCTTACTCTATCAGTACTACATTTCGTTATTGCTACTCAGAAGATATATCAGAAGAAAAGCAAATCTATTGATAAACTTATCTACATATATTAATAAACTAATATCAATAATGTATTTGCTCAACAAGAGTTAATGTGCTGTTGTAAAAAATGTGTCTATTTCTGTCAGCATCTGCTATATACTTTAATTCGACGACATAATGCTACGTTGCTTTCAGAAAAGTGAAGCTAATAGCGTGAAATAATGAGAAATAAACAGTCGTTACAGCCGTAATCAGACTACGGATTGGGATTAAGATTGGATTGAAATTTAATCAATCAGAATAAAGAAAACTAATTTCAAGTTTAGTGAACTTTGCTCTAATTGGTCAAATTTCAATCCAATCTCAATCCCAATCCGTAATCTGATCACGGCTTTACAATTCCCGCTGTTATTTCGACTGTCATCAATCACAGATTGAATTTTTATGTTTATAGGCAAAATTAATCGAAATTAATAACAATGAGAGGAGAAATAGACCGACCACGTAAGAAAATCGAGAAGTAAAATCGTCATTTCACGAATAAATTCTGACAGCGGTAAAGTATCCAAAAATTTCGAATTTTTCAACGCGAGTTTCTCATGCGTCATCATAAATCCAATTACTTAACACATTGAGCCGCGTGAATGGATTCGAAGTTTAGGAAACATTTGATCAGACGACGAACGAGACCATAAACCACGTGGAGAAGTGACGTGGAGAATTTTATTTCCGGTCGTTTCGTTTCTTTCCAATTAAACTAACGCACGTTCTCACTTTATGTATTAAAAGTATATTGCGCAATTTGCTCAGATATATAAAATCTCAGATCAATAAAGATGTCAGTGAAAATAATCGCTTTTAATTTTTCGTTCCGAAAATGTCGTATACAGAGTGATTTAAGAAAAGTAAAAAAGAACATTTAGGAAACGTTTAATAAATTTATTAAAAAATGCATATAAACCTGTGGACATTAATTAGATAGATGTTAATGCGATAGAGCATCTATTTTCAGCGGCATGAATTATCGAATTAACAGTGCAGCCTAAGTACATCCTCGTCTAATTAGCTGTCGTTGTGCGCGTCGCGTTGTCGTGTAAACATTCGAACATGCTTGTGTCGAACAAAGCGTGTCGAGACGATTAACGGCCTCGAATTGAATTCCGCCCTATCGCAAGGGTTTCAGGAGGGACACGAACCAACTTGGATGGCCGCGGGATACGCAAGGACCATAATTACGGACCGCGTAAGCGTATCGAAAGGGGCCGCGTATCGATAACGGGGAAGAGGGCACGGAAGCAATTCCACAGCCGTCAGCAAGCCGTAGTCCTAAGGCGGGTCAACTATCGGGCGGAAACGCATCTGATCGAAGGGAAATCCTAGATTTCCCCCGAGGACTTCTTCGGGAAACACCGATAGTCGGACAGACCGATGCCTTGCGCGAGTCCCTTCCTCCCCGCTGCTTTCATGTCGCACCACGTACTATCCAATACTCGAATTCAATTTGAACCCGCGTCAATAGTTTGCTTTGCCGTTCGAAAATGATCAAAAGCAAGTGATTTTTCAAGAAACAAAATTAAAAGACAGTGAATATAAAAATTCTTATATAATATACATATATGATCCTATAATATTTTATGCATTATCTTAACGTGTATTTTATTTAGCATTTATTTAGTATTCTTCAGTGCGTTTTGTATATGTTATTTATATTGACCGCAATTAACAACCTTAAGATAGGTACATATTCATCGGAAACAGTTCGCGAACTGCATTAGCAAACTATTTGTAAATATTACTCGATGTGTTCGCTAACAGCGCAAAAAATTTGCGGTTTTGAATAATTGTTCTTGAATAAGAACGGATTTGAATAATTAAACGGGCACAATAACTGCTCGTGAATTCGCATTGTAATATTTCATTAAAGATATTATTCATTATAAACAACAAAAAATCATATTGCACAATCGCAATCACACGCATTACAGTATTTTTCCATTTAAAATCTTTTAAAAAATTGCAAATTAATTTAGTAATTTAAATCATAAGTATTAAGAAATTTTGATTAATTTTATGTCTGTATTGAAAAATGATTACGATACATATCGTTATACATAATATCATCATATTATATAAATCTATCTACCTATTACATACGAAACTATTCATGCAATCAAACAATCGGAATAATAAAAGAAAGACAAAGATCAAGCTAATGCAACCTCAGATTGTTTGACCGAATAGCCATGTGACATGCCCCGATGAATTAAATTCTTACGACCGTGAGATTTTCAAAGCTTGTTAGACTTTTTCTACTCTATACTATCTACGATTGATGCAAAACAAAATTTTGGTTTCTTTTGTGGATGAGCGGAACAATTCGCATCGAACAGGAATCGAATCTACAATAAAACAGAAATGAGCAAATGCACATGATACAGAAATTTGACAGGCTTGAATCATTTTGTTCATATTTGCCGAATAAAATAAGTTGCAACTCATTTATGCGATACGATCAATTGATAAGATCATTCTTTGTTTGATAAACGGATACTTATATTAAGATAACTACATTCATAGGCATTTTTATTGCATGATTAACGTGTTTGTAATTTCATTGTGTTCTGTGAACGAGATATATATAATGTCTATATATACGCATAATAAAAATCTTTCCGATGACAGTCTCGAGATTGTGCGAATCGTTTATACATTAACGCCGTGAATAAATGGACGAGAATTGGCAGAAGGACAACGGGAGGATGAAGCGAGAACATCGAGATCATCGATACCAAAGGAAAGTTCGAGAAACAGAACATTCTCACCACCTTGAGTCGGTGGCCGAATAGTGCACTCTCGTGTCACGCTGCCGCATTCATAAATTGGTTAGAACTTAGTGGAACTGACTAACACTATCCAATTAGCTCTCCAATGTCGTTCAATGCAATAATAAACTATGCCGAAGTAATGAGTATAGAAGGAAAAAAGTGTGACAATGCATAATAATTACAAATATATTTAAAGTATATATATTGTCCATTTAATTCTTGTTAATATTATAATTAATTAGATGTAATGTAAATCTTAACTTTTGTAATAATTAAAACAATTATATATTTAAAAATATATATATATTTTAGAAGTTTTTTAGAAATATTTTTATTATTATAAATCTACAACTTCGCGAATTTAGCAGTTCTTTAGTAAAATAAATTTTTGTTTTTTGTCCCTTCTTTGTATCTACAATTTTTAATTCTTTTTAAAGTACAGAGTTCTTTTCTCGGCATTTTGTTAGGAAAAAATGGAGTCAGTTACATTAAACGAATGGCTTGTTCAGAGACCCAGAATTATAAAAATTCAAAATGTATATAATAAAGAAGGGGTAAACATTTAAGGATGGCACATTTAAATGTGCAAATATTTGTCTTTCTTCAGTGAACGTTTCTTCTTTATTTCGCAATGTGTTTGCAAATGGGGTATTTTTCGCGATAAATCATTCTGCAGTTTCTCATCTTAATAATATCAACAGTACAAACTAATTTCCATGTAAACATTCATCACGAAACCATTTATCTCCTTCCGTCTACATGTCAGAGGTGGGGTTTTTTCCATTGTATATATTTCGCGAAAGCGTATCTCATTGATATGTTATCGTAACTCATAATTGATGAAACATTCAATAGCTAGATATATAAGCTAAATAATAAAGCGATCGATCGTGAAGACACGGCTTAGTCAGTTTTACCTTATGCTATTAATCTTTTACGTGTATCAAGTAAGATTCCACGATGCACCTGAGAAATGAGAACAACACCGAGGAGGTATATGCAGCTATAATAAATTTTACTGAAAATTTGTGAAGTGTTCATTCGTGTTGGATTTAAACTCAAGATGTTTTTTAGACATCGCAGTCAGGTTTATCGAAGTTTATTGTTGCAATTTGAATACTGTAGAAGTATATCAAGCTTATCACGTAGATTCATTTGCAATCTATTATTAGCAATCCATTATTGGCGGCATTTGAATTATAACTTCCTAGTGGTCGGCTTATGCACTCATATTTTCAGAAAAGTCTCATGTTCAGAATAGAGAACAACATTTTGATTGGCGAGGAGGTACCGATTCACAAGACATGCACAAATGTCGGTGCGTTGGTATTGGAGAAGATGCGAAGCAGACCGGAGTTCGTCGCTCAAGTAAGTAGACACGGTCGACTTCCGCGAGAAGCTGTCGATAGAGGCATCGTCGAATCGATTTCAACATAAATTTCGCCATGATTCACCATTTAACCCTCGCTCGTTCGATCGTAATCCCGTAGGTGGAGGCGGTTACCGGCACGGAAACTATTTTCGCAGAAATGACGGAGAAAAGCGTGAAATGCGCGCTGTGGCTAAGAGAGCAAGCTGTTCAGCCGGGCGACATAATCGGCATTTGCACTCACAATCACTTGGAATCATACGTACCGCTGCTGGCGGCACTCTACGTTGGCGCCATTAGCAATCCTTGGGACAACGAACTTTCCCCAAGTACGTTACTTTCCTCCCGCTTGTTCTCGCTTTTTCTCGCGTCGTGCATTAAACCACCGAACGAAATCGGATTTCCGCGCATCAAGAGCTACGTCATTGCAAAGCATTCTGTTTTCATTTTTATTTTTTTCTATTTCTCTTAATCAAAAAAACATCATGAAAAAAGCATTCGTTGAAAAATAGTCGGACGCGCCTTTCTGCTTTTATCTGTGTTGCGAGTTCGAAACGTCGTCGCAATTAATTCGCGCAGATATAACAACAAAAATAGCAGCGCCGTCGAATTTCTGATATATATAAAATATTTACGGGAAATATTTACGAATCCTTCCTTCGTTTTAGCGACCGCACGTTATTTCCTCTTGCTGACAAAACCAAAAATAGTGTTCGTGAATGCCGAGTCGGCCAAGTGTCTAGCGCAGGTTGTCGAAGAAAACAATCTGAACACCAAGCTAGTAGTGTTCGGCGAACTAGCAGGCTTTGAGGATACGTCTCTGACGAGCGTCTTGCGTTCTCAGGACGCCGCAGGGATCGACAAATTTGAGTGTGCGAGGCTGACCAGCCCCGATCATATCGCCACGATCGTTTGCTCGTCCGGTACCAGCGGCTTTCCGAAAGGCACCGAGATCAGCCACGCGTCCATGATCAATTACATGGCTCACGTCAAGATCCACGACCTCCGAGAACACGTGTCAATGTGGATGCCTTCTATGCGTTGGTACTGTGGTCTGTTCATTATTATTAAAGCTATTCTCGATTGCTCGAAGAGGGTCATAATTCCGGATTACGACGACGATGAGAAGATATGTTATTTCATCGAAAAATACGAGGCAAGTGACGAGAGATTGGCGGATACGTAATATACTTAATTGCATATTAATGACAAATCGATACATCGTCTCTCTAGCACGTATCAATAATAATGATAAATTAATAAATGGTCATCAGATACATTTTTGTGAATACTCGTGCGATTTCGTGTGTACTTTTAGCGAGCGATCGTTCAATGTATCGGTTATTTAAAACGCTTTGTAAAGCATTCTTTTAATGACGCGCGCAGCTCGGCGTAGAAATTAATTACAAGTTTATGCGATGGAGGTTTTAATATTTGGCAATATCACCTGATTTACCATGCACTTTTCATCACGTAGCATCCGCGTTATTATTTTCATTTGGGGGATATTCTTGCAACGGGGGTATTTCACACGATATTACCCTCGCGCGTTTGCGTTAATTTATGTTAATTTATGTCGCGCGGCGAATTTGCTAAAGGATAACATGGGCTCGAATTGAGGCGCATCTACAAACGGGCGTGATAGTTGTACCGCGTGATTTATTGCCTCGTGCAGGGGTAATACCGCGGGAGCGTTCGAGTTTAACGGCGCGGGCGTCGTTTTGCATTTAGGTATCCTGGTTTAGATGCGATTCCTGCTTCCCCATTCGACTAGTGAAGTTCGGCATATTAAGCAAGTACCGACTACCAACATTGAAAATCCTTTTGTTTGGCGGCGCGCATTTCCGGGGAGAGCTGCAGCAGACTCTGGTGAAACTTTTGCCACATACCAATGTCATACTGAGTTACGGTAAGTCCCGATAAAGACTCTTATCGAGATGATAAAACCGTGATCGTTATGGTAGTCCTATTTCGTTTATCGATCAATGATATCGATCAATGAGTAGTTACACAATGCTGGTCAATGTTTCTATTTAAAATACATCCGTTGGACATGCAACGTGAAGGAAACTGATTTTTAAATTGCCCGCCAGGAATGACAGATTACGGTGGATTATGCGCCCGTCAAACGAGACACAGTAAACCGGGCAGTTGCGGATTTGTGTGCGAAACAGGACGGTTGAAAGTGGTCGATCCTAACACGGGAGAGACCTTGGGGGTCAACAAAACCGGAGAAATATGGGCCAAATCGTCATACATGATGAATGGATACTACAACAATCCCGAAGCCACAAAGAACGCTATCGATTCGGATGGTAAGTATGAAATAGTTTGACATTTGTCATTATTTAGAGCAAAGATTTTAATTAATAAAATATACTAATATGTATAAAAGCGATAATTTCCACGTTATAAAAAATTACAAACTTTAATATGCCCAACGTGTGTAATTTTCAGGATGGTTGCATACTGGCGATCTTGGTTATTACGATGACGATGGCGAAATCTTCCTCGTCGACAGAATGTCGGAATTCATCAACTATAGAGCCATCAAAATATCGCCCGCGGAAATCGAAGCTTTGATTCAACAACATCCGGCAGTCCTCGAAGTCGCCGTAGTGCCAGTGCCGCATGCTGTCGAGGAGGAACACGCCATGGCTTTTATCGCGAAAGTACCCGGCAAAGAGGTAATCACTCTGACAAATATTCGCAATGCTTATTTAAATATTTGTCAATTGTTCTTATATCCTATGTGTTCTCTTAATCTGTTTATCATAGGAGATCTTTTGGATTAGCAGAAATGTCGGTCCTTTTTCCATAATAATATTAAAAATAATTTTCATCCGTCTAAATTTTTCTACATTAAATTATTAGCAAAATAATATATTAAACATTAGATTTTATTTTACAACATTAGTAAAATTTAGAGTTAAGTCCTATCTTTCATCTCAAATTTCCTGTACAGTTATCAAATATTTTGTGTAATATCCAAAGTTCACATATTTTATTAACTTATTCTCTTTTTCAAATAAGAGATTAATTATAAGTAAATTTTTCACATTGATTTACATTTTATAAAAAAAAAGGATCGACTTGCATTTGTGCGCGCAGCTTCAATTTACTGCAGGCCCTAAGTTTCACTGTCTTGCTCTACATACGTTACATTACAATTCCTCACGTAAATTTCAGGCGACGGAGCACAACATAACCGACTTGGTGGAGCAGAACATGCCGTGGTACTGCAGGTTGCATGCGGGAGTTAAATTCATGCAGAGGCTTCCTCGCACGGCTACAGGGAAGATCGCTAAGAAGGAACTCAAGCAGATCGCTAAGAGTTATGCGACAAATTAAAATAATATTGCAATTATTGTCATATTGCTGTTATATTTAGAATATATATACTATTGTGGTAATTACTGCCTTTCAATATTTGAATTATTTAAAATCGTTTAGTCTTTCTGTAATAATATTTTATAGTATGTAACACAATAATCTATGTGTACTACAACATAATGTGAAAATTCTCTCTATATACATCATATAATATCTAATAAAGTAATTTGATGCAACCATGCAGTGTGTTATAGAGATTCACCCTTTATCAAATTTATAGAGTATCGTTTTATCGCGTACTCGTGACTCATGTGTATTTGTTAAGTGATTATCAATGAAATATGATATTACGATAGTGTCATGATACATTAGAATACGTATCGCTATATACAGATTTATAATAAACCAATTAATAAAGCGATATCAGATAACGGTTTCAATAGAAATAAACGATTTTCTGAAGAGCTGTACATAAATTGATTGCTATTCGTGTATATATGCATAAGCATAATACAAAACGCCATTCACGAATATAAAATGGGATTTAAAAAATAGCTTTTGATATTTATTTTTATCGCTCGTTATCGTGAAACACAAATGAACAGCATAAGGTGCATAGGAAACATCGCCAGATAAAGTATCGTTATAAGCTTACAATTGAAAATAATGGAAATCTTTGTGGAAATGTTAGAACGAAACCCAAGAGAATTTTCCGAACGCGTCTTTGCTCGTCTATTTCGCTTGTCATTGTTGAGGGCGGATTTTTCCGTCGCAGGACATTCATGTTATATCGTCCCTATTACGTACGTCTGAGTACCACGATGTAACTCAGTATATGCATTAAAAAGAGAAATTCGAGCGAATCAAGAGAAGCTCTGTGCACAATACTGCAAAATACGTTCGACCTGATTGCTTCCAGTATAAAGGAGACAAAGAAATAAAATAAAAGTGAATTTTCTTATTCGATGAGAATGTGACAGCGTAAATGTACGGCGTGATATAATGCACGACTGCATTAACAAGTACTTGAAGGATTGCATTGCATTATAAGACACAAGCATTATAAAGATGCATACGAGACACGATTAAAAGCCGATAAATTATATTTATCATCGTATTTTATATAATTAGCATAAATGGTTAATAAACGTGTATTAAAGTTCTCCATCGTTTAGTAATGCATTTGCAAAATTAATGTCAATTGCAATGAACCTTGTGGAACAAAATAATCTTTCCTCGTTTTAAAATATATCGGTTTAATTATTTTAATACCAATAAATAAACACATACGCCAGCATGTTTAATTTCTTGAAAATACTTGAGAGAAATGCACGCGAAGAAATGCACGCAAAGTGGCGGTTGCCGTGGTTATACCTCCAGTAATCGCCTTCAAATGTAAAGTACGCAAAACTGCGGCGAAGTTTTAATATTTGCTTTACGGCGTGTTTAGTCCGGCCACGCTCTCTTCGCTCGACAAGAAGAAAACTCAACTAAGTGTTCGCAAGTAAGTAAACGCGCGAGGCTCAAAAAGAAGCGCGCCGAGATAATTTCATTCTCTCGCGCAATCGCCCAGCTTTAAAATCAAAGTGGTTCAGCGCACCACGGCCGGGCTAGATTAAATAAGTCGGATTTAATTAAGTTATTGCGGCCCGCGCGGAACTAAAACAACCGTAAAATAAACTTCACGTCGCACGGTCGTCCGTGATTAAGAGCAAGATTATTACAGGTACAGGAAGAACGCAACGCTCTTCGCGCGAAGAAATCGCACCACAGTCGGTCTTCTTTAAAATAAATTTATCGTTTGCAAGTGACGGCCGAGAAATTGATGGAGCCGACGTAGGGAAATCGAGAGGATTTCTGCAGACTTCACGAGAACGTTAAATTCATCGAGACACTACCGCGTACGAAAAATTGATAAGAAAGATTGAAACAGCTTGCGCGGAAGATTCACCGATAGATTCAATAACTGTGCAAAAATACTACTATTATTAATTTATAAGATTGTATTTAACACTATGCAAAATATGTTCAATTTGTTTATTAATTTGTATATCATGTAATATCAATATTCGTAATTGTGCAATATTCATCATTTATACAAAATATCTCTTCATATGCAATATTCATTTATACAAAATATCTGTTTAATTAATGAAAATGGCTATTTTATCAGGTGTCATCGAAAATTTATTAACATTTTAATCTTGATTCTTATTATACAATAAATAATTAAAATATCCCGAACTTTATATGCTATTAAATTAAACATGACTTTTTTATTTCAATCAAAATTAATTTTCAATTATTCAGAATCATGAAACAGAACTATATCTCTGAGAGAATGGCTGGGTTTTTTTTAAATATATAAAAAATTTTTTTTTTACTCTCTAAATTTTTTCGAGTGAAATATCACTCTAATCGAGTGGAAATTCACTTGAGCAAAGAGTGAAAATTGAACATATCTTATCGAGTGAATATTGACTCAGTTTGTCGAGTAATTAGATCACACTCGCGCGCTCGAGCGAAATTTGGCTCGTGTATTTTAGTGAGAACTTGCACTCGATCAGAGTGCCTTTTTCAGGTGTCTGATTTTGCTGTTCGCTCGTTCTTAGAGTAAAGTTTTACTTAAAAGGCGAACATGTTTCCTAAGGCTCACCACATAGCATTTCTACCTGTTATTTTAAAACGTTGGTTACCTATTGATAAACTAACTAATAGTTAATTATAAGGAAAAACGAATCGTGAAGCCGCGAGTTGCGGTCGCACGCGAGGAGGAGGCTCTTCGTCGACATCAGGACGTGATGCACGACGATCCCGTCCACGGGAAAGCCCGCGAGGCCGTCGCGGCTACGATCTGCGCCCGCGGAATCACCACCGGTATTCATAGTCGCATCTTAATTTAAGACCGTCTTAAGTACAATCGTAAGATGTCATAAACTAATCACAAAAGCCGTATTAGCATCTTAAGACATTACTTAAGACAATCTTAAATATAAGATGCGACTATGGCCGCGGCCTATGAATACCGCGGTATTCATAGTCTTCAAGATCGTCTTAAGTAATGTCTTAAAACGCTAATACGGCTCTGTGATTGGTTCATGACATCTTAAGATTGAACTTAGAACGGTCTTAAATAACTATGAATACCGGCCTATAAACCTTTACTTGATAAGTCCAAAACCTACTTTCTTTTGACGTCACAGCAAATGAATAATGTAACGTAAAGAAACGCAATTCTACATGATCAGAAACAAAGTGTCATAACAAATAATTCCATGTTTCAATAGATTACAGTCTAGTTGTACAATTAGAAATAAAATTAAAAAATTTTTGGAACAGATATATGTCTTAAGTTGAAACAATAAGATTAGCAAATAAATAGCAAGTAAAAGTACTTTTAATGATATTGATAATGACACGATTCTGAGAGACAGAATGTTGCAGCTAATCTAATATATCGTTATTGATGTTTGACAAATTCTACAGATTGCGAATTTATGATGAATGCACAGTATCAATAATACCTAGTAAACATTAAAAAACTAGATAAGATTTCGTTTGTTTCCTTGATTTCTCAATAAAGATGACAACTGGCTGAATTGATAATCAGTGTTTTCATAGTGATTCAAAATATTATCACGATAATCAATTTGTTCGATCAAATTTTCTAATCGATAATTTTAATATTAGGTGAAATGTGTGTGTATTAGTATTTAATATAAAAATATAAACATTTGTACATAATATAAAAGAATGTTTCATTATTAGGATCCGTAAAATTTGTCACATATTTCTGTAATAAACATAATCATATTATTCATACTAAATTCCGTAATTTCGACATTATTATATGTTCGACGTTATGTTCTCATTACAAATTTCTGCAATGTTGCAATATTACCTCTCATAAAATTAGAAGATAAATAATGTATTTCATTAATCTTCATTAAACCGTCAATTACTCATACTTAAACCATTAATTAATCTATTATTTACAATTGCCCCAAATAACTAATTAAACACATGTGCTTGAATTCTCTTGCGGATAGAAACGTTTGCTATAATTATCTAGTATCACGAAAAACCACTTGAGAAATGTCACATTTTACGCATCAGTAAAATGTCATTTGAGAATGAACGTTTATACGAGGCAATCGAAACGACATTTGTCAACGTTGTCAGGAAGGACAGTAGTAGCTCGCGAATGCAGCAGAAAAATTTCACAACCGCTGCGCACGGCTGCGATAAATTACCGTGGCGTCGAATCGGCGCGATGCATACAGCAGCACCCAAATGCAACTCCGTTTCGATAAGCGTATTTTTATCGCCCGGCGCAAATGCATTTTGCAAACCGCCGAACGGGAATTCCTGCGACCTCATAAATTTATTATGCCGCCGAACAAAAATTTTCGAATAATTCGGTGCGGCCCGTATCTCTTGCGAACGAGCGCGTTTCAAAGTTAGATATTTATAAAAGATAATTGACATTAATGTGTGTGTGTGTGTGTGTGTGTGTGTGTGTGTGTGTGTGTATGTGCGTGTGCAATAATTTAATTTAATTTAAGTAAAACGAATATATACACGATTTCACATAAAGATACACGATACACATAAGAGAGAATTTTTGCCTTTGCTACTTGTTTATACTTGTATGCATATAAATATATTTAATATTTGTCAACAAATTAATAAACGGCGATACGAGTCAGGCGCGGTACGTGATGGTGCGCAAGTAAAGAAATTAATTATAGTTACAGAAATAACGAATTACAATGTACACATATAATATACATATTATACATCTATTCTAACTTGATAAACTGCGCGCTGATTATTTGTCCGACTTCAAACACAGCTATCGTTGAAACAGTAATAGCTTCCCTCCCCGGAATTAAATCGACGCGATTTAATTATTTTTTTAAAAACTGTAATAAATTTATTGCGAAAAATATTACCTCAGCCAGGATTCGAACCTGGAACCTCTCTCATTCCGTGAAGGGCGTCGTACCTATTCGACTACCGAGACATGTGGTAATATTTATCGCAATAACCGGTTAATAATAGTTACAAACGCATTGTTTTTAGCCTGCGTAAATTCAAATATGTAATTTAATATTTGTATTTTCATAAGAGATGCCCCATAACTATGATGCTTTCTAAAATTTCACACTTCCCTAAAATTTTAATTTTCTTTACTTTATCCATATAATATTCTTGGGTATATTTAAAAATTTTTCGTCTAAAAAATTACATTATAGTTTTATTCCACAAGAAAAATGTAATGTATATATGGCAACAAAACTATTCTAATCTTTTTTCGAAGACAAAAAATAATTTTAAAAAACAACTTAAAAGAGTAACAAAGTGTACAAACTGTAACAAAGACATTATCATTCCACGTGTCGTTCCATTATTAAAAGAATAATTTGCTTATAATTTTCCTATGCTGTGCTAAAGTGAACACAAATTAGCTAATTTATGATTGACCAAGAATTCGATTACAGGTTCGATTGTACATTAAATAGTGGTGGGATATTGATAATAGCCTGATACAAAAGCATTCTGCCATCGATACCACGCGATAATATATTGTCCACGTGCCAAGCTGCGATTACAGTTGCCAAGAAATCTCTACAGACATGACGATAACCAACGAAAAAGCCAACAAGCAGGTAAGAACGCGTTATGGTAAAAATGATCGGAGTGACATTTGCGTCAGTGAAATTATGATCACGATATACTCTCGCTTTTCTCCAGTATGTACCGTCGTTCAGAATCGAGGATAATATATTGATTGGCGCGGAGGAAACTCATCCAGGATGCACGAACATCGGAGAACTGATTCTCGATAAATTGAGGAATAAGCCGGATTTTGTCGGACAGGTACCGTCGCATGAAAATCTTATGATTGATTAGGCTCCATTGCGTTCATAGTTTTGTAAGCTTCAATTAAAATTATTTGATTCAATAAAACTAAGCAAACTTGGAAATGATATAGGTGATAAATAAAAAGGTAAACAAATCTTTCTAATTTTTCGTATCAATTGGAGATTATATAGATTATATTGGAGTTTATATAGATATAGTATTGTGTGGGATCAATAAACTTTAAACATTTAAGAAAAATTAAGAAAAAAAGAATATTTTATGAATAACATAACGTCGAATAAAAAATAGATTTAATCGATGTATGTAAAACTAATTCCATTTTTTTAATTTTGTGAAATATTTAGATAGAGATTGCTCCGGGAAAAGAGAGTACCTACGCGGAAATGAAAGAACGAAGTATCAAATGTGCCCTCTGGTTAAGAAATCACGGTATCCAAAAAGGTGATAAGATTGGCATATGGACTGGCAATCACATCGACACCTACGTACCAGTATTCGCAAGTTTATATGTTGCCGCGATAATATGTCCGTGGGATGACAAAGTATCGAAAAGTACGTCATTGCTTATGTAAATATATAATTGACTGGCTAAATAACTTATACAACTACAATAATTTAGCTACAATAAAACTATAAAATTTATATTGCGTTCTAATAGAAAATACAATTGCTGAACTGATCTTTAAATAATAATTGGCAAAAATGTGACCGTTAATGATTTAACTATAAGTATCATCATTTTCTAGTGTCGGCGCGGTACTGTCTGTCGCTAACGTCCCCGAAAATGGTTTTCGCGGACGCAGAGTCAGTCGAGAATCTGGTGGAAGCAGCAAAAGAAGAAAATCTAGAAGTTAAAGTCGTAGTTATCGGGAGTTTACCAGGATTCGTGTCTTTGACGGATATTCTTCAAGATCGAGTCAACCCGTCAGAGATCGATGAATTCCGTTGCACCGTAGTCGATAATCCTCATGACACAGCGATGATCTGTGCTTCTTCCGGTACAACGGGTATGCCAAAAGGAACTGAACTGTCTTATGTGTCCCTTTACAACAGTATCACACCCATCGAAGAAATTCATATGATCAATGAAGTAACATTAACTGTACCTACGATACGATGGCACTACGGACTGACTGTGCTGTTCGAACTGATTATGTCGAACGCAAAATGGATTATTGTTTCAAATGAAGTAGCTATGGACAATGCCCAAATATGCAAAGTTGTTCAGGATTATGGGGTAAGCTTGAGAAACAAGTATAATAATTCAAATAATGGAGTAATAATTCAAATTGATATTAATTCTAAACAATGCCTTTTAAGCAATGTCTTAACATATTTCGCGAAATTGAATCCAATTTCAAATTCTTTATTGTACATATTTTTAAATATGGAAATATGCATACAATAGAAATCATTCAATCTTTCATTAATATTACAAAGTATAATTGTTTAATATCGTAAATTATTTTTTTAAGTATCAATTTTTGTTACGTATTTAAAACTTAATATATAAATATTAAACTTTATTAAAAACTCTTTTTCCAATTTTTTGCTTTTTTAAAATATTATTTCAATTCAAAATATTGTTTATTTCTTTATCTGCCGTCAAAGTTTAAAACTAATTTACTTACTATTTGCTTGTATTCATCATACTTAAAAATTAATTTCTTCTTCTTATTATTATTAAATAAAAGCAACTATTTAAACGACAATATATGCATTTTTCATTTTCTTAGTCAATAAAACATTTTTTCTAGTAACTAATTTTTTATACATATTCTCAGGTAACATGGTTAGGATGTGATATTTCATTTCCGAACCGTGTACTCAAATACAACATCTTACAAAAATATCCTATGTTGTCTCTGAAAAAGCTCGTTATAACTGGTGGGCTACTTACAAAACAAACACAAGAAGCTATCGCGAAAATGTTGCCTCATACCCAAATATTAAATTGTTATGGTAAGATAAATTATATTGATAAATTATAGAGCCCCGTGAATACTATGGATATATGATTCCATGCAAACAAAAATATTTTATGTCATTATTTTAAAAGATGCTTACTAAAATAAAATATTATTACGTCAAGCTATACAAAATCTTTATATAAAATTATTCAATTTTTCCTTCTAGAATATTTTTAATCATCTGAGAATATTTCTTCAGGCTTGACTGATGCCGGAGGATTGTGCGTGAGCCAAGCGAAAAATAGTAAACCAGGTTCCTGTGGTTTTGTGACCAAGGGAATACGAATAAAGATAGTGGACGAAAAAACCGGCCAAGTTTTAGGGCCTAACGAGAGAGGTGAACTTTGTATAAAATCGGAATTTATAATGAATGGTTATCATAAAAATCCAGAAAAAACTAAAAGTGCTATTGATTCAAATGGTTAGTATTCAGACAAATGAAATAACATCTGCTTTGACGATATCTTTTAAGGGGATCCTAAAGTGAAGGCTGAACTTCCTCGACGTCGGTAATGTCAACATTTCTAATTCTGTTTTCTTGTCATATATCTATATCTGTCCTTGTCTAACGAGAGGCATCTGTCTTTGTTCGATTACTGCGCCATCTCTTGCCACACGCAATATTGCTTATCCTGTCAACCTGAATGTGCTTTTGCACATATAAAAGTTATATAAAGTAATCTTTTTTTCTAGGTTTTCAATCTTAGATCTAATTGCACGATATTGTTCTTAAATGTTGTCCCTAGGTCATGCCGGTCTAATTTTGTGGATATTTATCGTGGAATTTTTGTACAAAGCAAATATTGTCGTCACGTATACCAAAAATTAACAAAAATATTAATTTTTTTTGTTTTCGATATAAATTTGACCACCATGACCTAGATTTTGATGCGTACTTTAATTCTAGACAAGAATTTTGCATTTCTATAAAGTCAATTAAAAGATTAGTGCTAAGAAAAAAAGCCGGTATTACAGACGGCTTTAGGATCCCCTTAATATTTTGTTATTACATTGTCATTTAGCTATAAAAACAATTATTTTGATCAACTTTTCGTGCTCGATATAAATTATTACCATAAAAAATATGTTTCTATGTTATAATGAGATTGCCATGTAATATAAAAAATATCAAAAAAATTAAATTTCATATATCTAAAGTAACCTAAATAAAGTTTTATTTACGCATATAGGCTGGCTGCATACTGAAGATATAGTATATTACGACGAGGAAGGTGAAATTTACTTTGTCAGCAGAAATTCGGATTTTATTAATTACGGGGGCATTAAATTATCACCCGCGGAAATAGAGGGTGTACTTGAAACTCATTCTTCAGTTCTCAGTGCCGTGGTAGTTCCAGTACCAAATGAAATGGATATAGAACATCCGATGGCATTTATTCAGAAAGTAATCGGAAAAGAGGTACATCATAATTGCCTGATATTTAATTTAAAAAAATTTTGTTTTCCTTAATAAATATATATAAATCTCCAAAGAAAAAGCTTTCTTAAAAATATATAAATAATTATATATTTTATATATAATAAGAACAAAATATTACTACTTATAATTAAAATTCTTAATTTTTCATCAAGATTATTACAACAAAAATGATAATTTAGATATATCGTATCCAACATTTTACTTAAATATTTGAAAGAATGTAGAAAGATTGATAGAATATCAATTTATCTTTTAGGTAACAGAAGAGGAATTGCATGATTTAGTAAATAAAAATTTACCAGACTATTGTAAGCTCGTAGGAGGAATCAAATTTATGGACAAGCTTCCACGTGTTAGTACTGGAAAAATTGATAGAAAACAATTAAAATTATTGGCACAAAATTATGCCAATTAAATTGAAAAAATATTATATATATTCAAAGATAAAAATAGATATAGAGTATAGTATAAACTATCTTTAAAAGAATGTGTGTGTGTGTGTGTGTAAGCGATAAAAAATGTTTACAAAATAAAAGTAAAGATAAAGATAAATATAAGTATTTTTGTTATAATACATCAGTTAAAATTTTAATATAGATTATTCTTTTCCCACTCCAGCTCTCAAAGATTATTTCCAGTATTATCAAATTAAATTTGATTGCACTTGATTCATATATCAGACACATACATAAAGTTTACTATCTTTTAGCTGCTTTTACAAAGAATTTATAAAATCAACCAAGTTTCATCATCAATTTATAAAATCAAACTTCTCAATCACAATTCTTTTTTGAGTGTATTACTCGTATATTAAAACTAATGCGTTTCCTTCTTTGAATATCATTCTGTCGTCGTCTTTTATATATATAAAAAGCATGTTTACAATTACTCGTTCTATAAAATTTTACGGTGTAGAGACTGTAGAGAACCTTATGAGAAATAATAAACTAACAATAAGTATATATAGGCTCTCCTGAATAAATCAAATAAAGGAAAGTGAGAGAGGTAGTTTGTTTACACGCTGAAGATGACACAAAAAAAGTGTCGAAACGTCCGAATATGTATTAACTAATATATTTTATTTTATTAACTATATTTTGATTACGCATTAATTACCGCGCGTGGCTCCGATTGCCTCTCTCATTTTCCTTTATCAGCTTTATCTCATGAAAAATGTTTCTAAAAATATCTATCCAAGATTGATAAAAACAGATAGTAACATTGGGGACCTGGTTAGTAGACGTATGTGAGTGGGTGCGAAGAGTGAACGTAGCTTATTGCTAGCGATTGCGGCCACAGATAGGCTTTGAGTGTAGGATAGGGGGAGAGGGGAGGCAAATAGCGGAGGAAGCGATAAAAGTGAAGGAAAATAGCGAAACACGAGGAGCGAGGATTAATCAAAGGGGTAAAGACACGACTAGATGAGAGGTTAGGGTAGAGAGACGAATTCGTGCGATTTATCGGGCGTACGGCATAGAGTATAGAGTACGGCACAGAGTAGAGCGGCAAATGAGCGGTAGCGAGCCTGAGGCCTGATTCTCTAACGAGAAACGCATACGCAAACTCTGCTCTAACAAAAAGGTTGTAAATTGATTGGCTATCGCACAGTTTTTAGCCAATAAGCTTGCAGCTTTTCTGTTAGAGCAGAGTTTACGCATACGTTTGTCGAAAGAGAATCGGGCCCCTGGGCGTATGATTGGCGGCGAGATAAGAAATCGCGGGAAAAGCAAGGACGTACTGATATAACACCGCGCGGCATATAAAATAGGAGATAGTAAGACATTGATAACGTGATTTCCCTCTATCTCAGTCCTATTACTCGTTTCCGAGCGTGATGACTTCTCTTCATATACATGTGTTACGCAAGTGGATTATACACATTGTGATTTCCCTCTATTATCCTATATTTCAAGTATTGTAAAGTGGATTTTAATGCATTGTACTCCCTCCAGAAACTATTTTTCTTCAAGAAATATATCCCAAATTCAATAGTAATTTTCTTTAAAGTGACCTATATGTAGTACCTCTTCCTTCTAAAATTCTACGTTGTCTGCCCGCCCGTGACAAATTTCAGGTAACAACTCCAATCATATTTCTTTCTTTTTATCTACAACACAAAAGCCTGATAGTCGTAATCTAAAACCCATGTTTATATACATTTCCATGTATATAAGTGTTTAAGTGGACAAGACAAATAATAAAACAAAAACGAATAAACTCAAATCATCAGTGATCATTTGGTCGTCGTGAAAGTAAATACGATAAAAATCATTGTATAATTTTTAAAAATGTGTGAACCGAACACAACGACTCTTAAAAACAAGGTATAATATATATAATTTATACTTTTATTCTTTATTTAACAATTTGCTTTCATTTTTATTGCACGTAATAAATCTTTGCATTATTGTTATATTATTATTTCATTTATTTGCAAATCTGCTATCTTTAACATTTCTGTATTCATAGATATTTTTAATGTTAACATTTGCTTTTAAAAAACAAAGAATATAAAGGGGATTACGAAC